TAAAGGGAAAGCAAGGTTGTGGAAGAAGATGAGGAGTATATGCCCAATATCAGGATGAACGCGCTGATGACGATGACGACGATGGTGAGGAGGAACATTTGGGGAAAAAATCTTCTGGGACTCGTAAAAAAAAGGTGCTACTTTTTGTTACATTGAGATTTTTTGCTTGTTCTTGCTTATATTTAACTGTTGTTGCTCAAAAAGTGGTTTTTTTTTTTTTGTTAAAGGTCAATTCGAAGTTTGGTTGATGTATAATCTTGTGTGGAAGTGTCTGATTTTAGCTGGTTAGTTCTTTGTTTCCCTGTCCGAAAATCGTTTGTGAATTTGGCTACTAATTGATCTTCTATTAATAAAAAAAAAAACAGAAAGGACCTAGATTTGGTTAATTCTCAGTGAGACTTGAGCATCATTAACTGGAAAGAACAGAATTAAGGGTGTGTCTATCAGGCAACAGCTTCGATGTCATCTTTACTGTGATAGCTCTAGTATCATTCCACTGTAAGAATACAATTGTCCACGTACAGCTTTATCTTGACTGCTTACTTCTATGAGCATGTCTCATTTATAGCCAATTAACACAAAAGTGTGTTCTTGTCAGTGAGATTGGATCTGATTGGTTTAAACGTATGGTCGATCTTTTTGTTAATCTATCATCCAGGGAAAAAGTAAAGGCTCAAAAAGTAAGAAAGTTGCTGGTCAAATGAGTTTGAGTGGCTTGGATTATGTTGAAGATGATGATGAATTAATGAAGGTATTCAAGAACTTAATAATTGCATTCTCAATATTGTTGTCTAATTAAACTTAGATACAATTGTTCAGCTATTTATATATTACAAACTAGCTGTTTTAAATTTTTTAGTTTTATATTAACTCTTGAGGATTTACATGCAGGCAATTGCACTCTCATTGCAAGATTCTGCTGGAGCTTCATGTCTAACACATAATGAAAGAAAGAAAAATGCAGAAGATACAGGAAGGCAGAAGAGAAAAAAATCGGTTTGTGTTCCGTCTTGACTGACATTTTGATGCAGGAGGTTTAGTACTTTAGTTACTTCGATTTTCTAAGTAGTAGTTGTATTTCTTTCAAATCTGGTATATTTTTTTAGTTAAAAGAGAGAAATGATATTAAAATGGACGCCAAGGGGGCGTAACCCATGTACAAGAAGGAAGGATTTACAGCTCAGTGAGAATATCTACAATCGAACCTAAATCCTCAAAAGAGTTAAGGTTGTGGCCGAGTACAATAGTACCAAAAAAATGTAGCCACCTATCTTTGATAAAGGCAAAATTTGTCTTTACCTTCAATAATCCTACAATTTCTTTCTTTCCATATAATTCATAAAATAGTTAATGGGATTACTCCATGCCATCTATTCCTCGTTTTAAGCCCTTCCCAAGCAAGCAATTCATCCTTAATAGATCTGGAAATAACCCAGGAGATGCCAAATAGCTTGTAGATCATAGACTGTAACTCACAGGCAACCGGGCACCATAAGAGAAGGTGATTGCAAGACTCATAGTTCCTCTTGCACATAGTACACCAATTGACCAAGACAAAACCTCTTTTCATGAGCTATCCAAAGTAAGAATACATCCCAAAGCAGCTTCCCAAGCAAAAACAGAAATTCTGGGAGGAACATTGGAATTCCAGATAATCTTATGTGGGAAGACAGCAGCAGTATCAGTGCTATCATTCAGGTACCTATATAGGGATTTTACTGTAAATGAGCCTTTTTTGCACAATTTCCAGCTTAATCTATCGGGTTCAGTGCCAACTTTTGCATCAGCAAACAGCCAGAGTAGATTTTCATATTCCATCGCCTCCCAATATTGCAAATTTCTGGTGACAAACACATCCCACACCAGATGGGTGCTGGCCCGATAAGCATTTTCCAGAAGTATAGTTTTGTCCTTGGCAATAGCATAAATGTGAGGAAACTGATTCTGAAGACTCATCTGACCGCACCAAATGTCCTACCAGAACCAGATGTTGTCCCCTTTCCCAACCACCCAATTTGAGTTATTCAATTCAAGTTCTTTGGAATTCAGAATACTCTTCCAGAGACTGAAACCAAGAGGGCTCTTGTTCATCCAATTAAGATCAGTAATATCATTGCCAAACCATTTACACACGATAACTTTGTTCCACAGGCTATTATTGTCGGTTCAGAACCTCCAAATCCACTTGTCATGCAAGGCTTTGTTAAGACACATAATGGATCTTATGCCTAAACCGCTGTCTTTGGTATGTTTTTGAAGATGCTCCCATTTTGCCAAATGAAACTTCCTGCTCGTGATATCATCCCCCCAAAAAAATCGGCATTGAATAGATTCAAGCCTTTTAGCAACTTTTTTGGGAATAGTGAGCACTGAAAGGTAGTAGATTGGTAGGTTGACAAGCCAGTCTGCTTTGAGAGAAATTTGTTTTTCCAACAAGCCAGTCTGCTTTGGAACATATCAATAACTGGCTCCCAACTGGTGCTGTTTTTATGTTTAGCACCTAGAGGAAGACCCAAATATTTTAAGGGAAGCTGGCCAGAATTGAGCCAAGAGCATTAGCAAGAGAACCAGCAAAGTTTTCCCCCAGATTGATCAATTCAGATTTTTCCATATTAATCTTCAGACCTGAGATTGCTTTCAAATCTGGTATGTGTGGTAATACAAAGGGTAAAATTACAATTTTAGTAGTTTAGGATCTTCTCTATGGTTGACATTCTTTCCAGTTCCATATTACGGCCGTTTGGTTCATTTTCCATTTACTTCTAGTTAACTGATATGCATAATTGCAAATAGTTTTTCGGTGTTTGATTTATTCCATTTTCACCTTAGAATTTCTCTGGAATGAGGATCATACTTTGTTTGAGAGGAATTCAAGTTGGGGATTGGAGTAAATGAAAGACAAACAATTATGTTCTAATTTGCATATAAAAGCTAATATGAAAATTAGAATGAGGAATTAGTTTGGAAATGAATAAGAAATAAGCCAAAAAGGGACCTCTGAGCCTAGTCATAATTAAACTGGGATTACAACAGAGTTAGTTCTTTCAAGAGAATATAATATTTGAGATTTATGATTTCCTGTTGCAATCATGGTTGTGATGCAATCAAATCTCATCTTAGGAATGAAGATTAATTGGTTCTAGGTGATAGCTAATGAATTTCTACCTAAGAACCTGTCAAATTGTTAAGTGCATAATAAAACAACTGCCCTATTTTCATAGGATTTATCTGGAATGTATTGTTAATTCAATTGTGCAGATGAAAATTGAACTCTAAATGAACTCCTACTAGAATTGAAACAGTACATTCAAATTCTGCTAGGTGATAGAATTTAAAATATATTATTCTATTCCATTTAAAATTCATTTAAAGATGGATTTTTACTGTCTGATGGGTAAATTAAGTTATGAATTCCATAAAAAAAGTCTATTCGTCCCAAAAGTACCCTAAATCTCAAATTCATAGGTGTACTATCTCAAAATTCTTTATGAAATATCTAAGCGTAATTCCTTACTAGGTTTACAGATTACCCACAATTTCTCTCATTTATCTTATTAAGGAAAAAATATTCATTGTCTAGCTTTTCCCACCACTTTTGTTTTGTGTTACTTTCATTTTGGGGCAGCAGTTTACCAGCCGGGTACAGATGACTGAAGATGAATTGGTCATACACTTCTATCAGTTTGATGGTAATTACTGAGCTGAGTTTTTATTTATTATCCACTATCCAACAACACTGGCATCCTTTTCCATTTAAAGTGTTGATAAAGAACATTGTTTACTTGCAGAATCTGGAAAAGGGGGCATAACTGTAAGAGATTTACAAAAGATAGCATTGGCACATGATTTTATGTGGACAGATGAGGAGTTGGCTGATATGATCCGTTGCTTTGATGGTGATGGAGATGGGATGGTCAGTTCTTGCTTATATTCCCAATTTTCCTTCATAAGTATGTACATGTTAATTACATCGTATGTTAATGAATTGACAGAAGAGTTGGGCAAAGGTTTGAATTGAAAACTACATGCCGAACTTAGCCACTGATCCTTCCGAATTATTTCCTGTCTGTAAATAAATTGAAAACTTGGGTACATGTAGCACATGGGTTTATTTTATATCAGGCAGAAACCCATTAAGTTGTTGATGCATAATGGATTAAAGTTCAGATATACTAAATAGATCAAATATACTCTATTTATAAGTACTCTAACTTTAGGATTTTATTTTTTTTAAGTATTTAGTTTTCTTATGTATGCTTATTAGTATTTGTATTTCTTAATTCAATCATATTTTGGAAAGGTTATGTAGAAATCCCTATAAATACACTTGTAATCTCACTTCAGAGAAAGTACAGTAAATCAATAAAAGAGTAGCTTTCAAAAAAAATTATCGATCTGTTTGGTTGAATTATGCAATCAAATCCTCAAATAGGTTCTTAGGTTAATATTTAAGAAACTCTAGGAGTGATTCTTAGGCTTTATACCCAAAAACTTTAGTAGCCATATTAACTCTAATTTGAACTACCTCACATCAGCTGCTACATAGCTAAAAGTTCCTGCGCCAAGCACCCAAAACCCTACACTCAAATATTCCCATACCCATCAGGAAGAAAAAGAATTACAAAATCTTAAACGTCTATCACCTGCCAATTGTAACTCAACTATAACCATTTGGAATTGATTCTACCGCCACCATATCCTGCCTCAAACAAGTTAGATCTCCCCATTCTTGATTCCCAATTGATTTCCAATCGCAAACAGCTACCAGATTATGTGCACTCGCCAGAAAGATAACAAACCACAGCTTCCTCACCATATCACCACCTTCCGCACCCAGCCCCAATCAGCAACCAACATTGCTAGATGAGTTGTTCCCTGGAACCTTGATGCCTTTTGGTAATCAAAGATAGGCAGTTGGACCGCACGTGTGTGACTCATGAGTGGATAACACCAAATTTGCTATATTTTGACTTTTTAAACCAAGTTGGACCAAACCAGTTCCCTAGACCCTTTTTCATGGGTTCAGGCTGGTCACTAAGTATTTTTGGCCTGCTTTTCTAATTTTTGCAGTCATTTTCACCAAATTCACTTTCTACGATTTAATTAAAAAATTTATATGGAATATTGAGGAAGAGAACGAGTCATCACTTACAGATGGTAGACTTAATGATTCTATTTTTTTTGTTCGTCACAATGGTGACATGGAGCCAAAACTCCATAAAATGATAAATTTTAGATTTCTTTCAGAATCGTCATTGATCCTATATTAAAGCGGGATCAGACGCAATATACTGCACTATTCAAAATCAGAAATTTTAAGGTTCAAAAGGATATAAGATAGAAATGTGTGAGACACATATCCTACTGTAGACTAATTAACTAAACGTCTTCTACATGCAGATTTGATGGTCTAGCTATTCTGTACTATGTGATTATATGATTCATTCATAAAAATTTACTAATTATAGTACTTACAAGATGGATTCGGATGTGGACGTATTTCTTCCTTGGATCTCTTTCTCACTCTCCCGAAATGAATCTTGTATTAGGATTTGGACATCTCTCCTCCTTGGATCTCTTTTTCACTCTCCTGAAATTCTCTCTTTTTTCTCCCCTCTACTGTTTGCGGTCTCTCCAACATAGAATCTACTTAAGCACAACAGAGCAATTAAAGTGGAGTGAAATTGGAAGCATTCTCCAAGTTTTCAAACCCTGGCCAACTGTGGAAATAAAGATAAGAAGGTTGCATTAATCTTTAATGCAAATACATCCGCACTCATGCAGACTTAGTTTTGATGGACAACATAAGTACTTTGAGAACTCAAAAATATATTGCTTATGTTGGTTATGGTATATCTACACTGATTCACATCATGTGTAATCTAAACTTTTACAACGTTAAACTTACTCTTCTTGGTTAGTCTTGACTTGATGATCAGCATGTTCAACATAACAAGACTTCAATATGTATTATCTTATATTTAGCATGAAGAACATAGTTTTGAAACCTAACAAGGATGTAAGAATATCAACATCCACGAGAGCACACCTTCAATGGTAAGAATAAAAAGAGGAACTCCTTTTAACATCGTATCGGAGTCCTATATTAAGAAACTTTAAACTCTTTTACAAACTCTATTTTATTTTCATTGCGTAAATAAGAAAAACCCTAAAGAGAAGAGGCCACCTTTCATAGTTGGCCACCTAATCCAGCCACGGGCCATCAACAGCCAAGTGGGCCTTTATTGCCGGCAGCAAAAAAAATTAGAGCCGCAAGCCGCAGCTCCTTCTCCTGCAACCAGCTGCTCCTAGCTGCTCACCGGCAAGCATGTCAATTGCAACCTCCTTTGCCATCAGTTGTGCGACCTGCCCCTGCCCATTGGAAAAAGCCGCGATCAGCTTATTCTGGCAAGAAAGGCTGCACGCGACACCTACTTATCTTAGCTAGCCAAGCTGCGGGCCCCACCTCAGCCACGTAGACTGCCTAGCCGCACCTGTCCTCTGTCATATATTCAACTCCAGCCAGGTCCAAGTCACATAGCCACCACTGCCTAGCTCGGTCAAGGTCACACAACCACCATTGCTCAGCCACACCATAGCCGTAGATAGGTGATCTCTATTTTTTCAACTTTAAATTGACCTTAATTGCCTTAAATCCTTAAAATTATGTTCGAAGTAACATCCCAAATCACTAGACTAAATTTCTACATGCGAAATTCAACATAAAATAAAAGCAAATTTCGGCCAATGCAGGCTGCTTATTGCTTCATTGGGAAGGATTGTTTAAGTTGGTGATTGTTAGTCCGAATCACTCTCAAGGGAAAAGGATAACTCAGTCACCGAATGGGCACCAAACCAAAACCAGGTGATCCAAACTTTGATGCTTGGAACGAGAAAGACTCAATGATTATTGCTTGGCTCTAGAATTCTATGTCTTCATATATAAGTAAAATGATTTTGTTCCTGTCTACAACAAAAGAAGTGTGGAATGCAATTAGAGAAATCCCGATTTTGTTCCTGGGGTGGTGGTGAGGGTAGATTTTGATAGGCATGTATCAACTTGTCAAACACAAGAGTGTATAATTTTCTATTAATAATAAAAGAAGTATGTTTTTATTTTTCTTAATTCATTGTGATGTTTAGAGACCATTTCACATTCCTAATATTTTTGGAGTTTGATGGTTTGGGTCACTTATTGAAGATTACAATAGGCTTACATGATTTTTCTTACTCAAATTCAAATAAGATTTTAATCATATAACATTCTAAGTTAGCAATATAATTAAAGCTTATTTGGAACCTGTATAAAACAGTTTTGCACTGGCAAGTCAAAAAAACTTCTTTAACCACACCATCTCATCATTTGTCCACCAAGAATGGATCGTTTATGAATCATCATGTGTTCATAATTCACAATAAAATAGAGTAATAAAACATCAAAATTGTCACTTTCTTAGAACCACTAGAGTTTTTTTGTTCAAAACCACGTTCCAAAATAATTTTGGGACGAACACAATTCTTACTGCCACAAATATTATTAATCGCTTACTGTCAAGTGCTCTAGAGTTAAAAGGTACCCTAAAAATTCTTTCCAGATTCCACTCAAAAGTAAGTGTCACAAACCATTCAGTGCCACAAATATTCGGGTGTGTAGTCTTTGTTCACATTCATTCGCATCAACGAGGGAAAACTTGATTCTAGAACCTTAAAATGTGTGATTCTTAATACTAATCTTTTCAAAAGGAGTATAAATGTTACCATTTGTCTACGTAAAAATTTGATGTATCTGCAGATTTCACCTTTTTCAAACAAGAATCATATTTTTTCAACCATATCTTTAGGTAGAGAATATATTGGAAGATAAAGATATCGAGTTCTTTACTGACCTTACCCTGCCTACTCAAAAAATTATACTTAATGTCATATTCAATCAGATGTATACAAGGAGAAAGAATATGAATTCTAAGCTGAAGTAGGTCCAAACATCCGACAAGAGTTCTGAGCCTAAGGTAAGTCCTAAAACCCCTACATGGTCTGATAATTACATACTCATTGCAATTCATAAAGGAACTAGGAAGTATATTAAACATCCTTTTTATCCTATCTCATAGTTTGTATCATTTGATAAACGTTCATAGTCTCATAAAAAGTTTCTTATAAATTTGAGTATTTAGTCTATCCCTAATATTGTATGAGGCATTATCTTGTGAGAAATGAAAAAACGTCATGAATGTTGAAAGGCATGCACTAGAGAAGAATCAGACATGGGAAGTGATTGATTTGTCTAAGAGAAAAAAATCTATGGGTACAAGTGGGTGTTCACAATAAAATATAAGACAAATAGGATATTCAAGAGGTATAAAGTAAAGATAGTGACAAAAGGCTATATCCAAACCTATGAATAGATTATTAAGAGATATTCGCA